AAAATACCACCTAAAGTCGCAGTTTGGGGAAAAGGTTTCTGGACGAGGAGAATAGCTCGCAAGCAAGGAATGGTAGGTGGTTGATGCTAATATTCTTTGACTAACTGCTTTCACAGGGTGGGGTGATGAATATTGATTGCTGCTTGAGGGAAAAAAAATATTAAAGCGAGGGAGAGAAAGAGAAAGGTTAATGAAGTAAACTGCTAAGCGAAGCAAGAAGGCTGCACCTGTCCATTTTGTGGCCGGAGAAGCATCATGTTCCTGAGTCCGGGTGTGTATGAGCCGGAATGTTGGGGCGCTGTGGGTGACCGGCGGCTGTGAGAGCAGGGCAGGGGCGCTGCGTGGATGGGAGTGTGGTGGTGCTTTAGCAGCTGGCTCGTGTAAACACTGGGGTTTTACCCAGCCTCATCACCTCTAACGCTGCCTGCCGGCTTTGGGGGGAAGGAGGTGTCTTGGCTTGCAGCTCAGGAGAAAAATGAGGGTGTTGTGAGGGTTATAGGGTCCATACACAGCGGTATAAAATTTGAATGTGGAAAAATAAAAAGAGGACAATGAGCTGGAAGATGCAGAGGACGGAAGTCTTGGCCTTTTGCAGAGTGATTGAAAGCCAAAAAAAAAGAGTGTGTATGTGGAAGTGTTTGACAGATCTTGTTGGATGTGGGGGAGGGGGTTGTTTTTAAGAAAGTAGCCTTTAATCATCACTCTTCCACATTACTTGGATTCAAGTGAACAACTCAGCCCACTGGATTTAACAGAACCACGAGATCTTTCAGGAGAAGTGTTTACAGCAAGCTATGGGCCAGCTGCTTTGCAAAAGAAAATTAACAATCTGTAGATGCTGCAGTGAAATCAATGTTGCTTTGCAGGGAAATCCTCCGGCACAAAAAGCTACTGCTACAGGAAGGAATGTTGGTTTTGTTTTTTACAGCAGAGCGACATTATTAGAAATAATAGAAATTTGCCTTGGATAATTAAGTGTTACAGCATTGTTTGACAAGCAGGCTGTGCTCCCAGTGAACCATGATGGGCATGTTTCACACCATTCATGTGCTGGGGGATTGTCAGCTTGTTTACACTTGTTTACATGGGCTCCTTTTGCTGCATAGCTTCCTGATATCCTCAGTGCAACTTTCCCCTCCTCTGATATGTTCACTGTAAGTTTTGCCAGAGACTTCTACAGGGGCAAACTGACGCTATGTGAAAATACAAATTTTGAGGGAAATTATGGTGCTGAATAGAAATGTATTGAGAGGAAAATGCAAATAAGTATATTGTAACTAATCAGAGGAGTCTGAAATCAGCTTGGTGGAGGACACAGAGGTTGCCCTGCAAGCCCAGCTTTAGCAAAAGAGAGGGGTTAGTGCAGAACAGTCTGGTGTAGGTACAGCACAGGGCTGTTTGTCTCTGCCCACGTGTAACCTGTCTTTGGTCCCCATGCCTTGGGGAAAATGGGGTGCACCAAACCCCACTATTTTAACCTTCTTTCAGTACAGTGCTATGTAATCACTGGTCAGGAACACTGGAGCAATATTTTCTTCTGTGGTCCTCTGGCTGTCTGCTCTCTTCCTGCTAGGAATGGTGGCATAAGAATACCCTTTCAGTTGGCTCAGCTAATGACTTTTTCTTACAGGGATGCAGATGTGAGCGACAAAGGTGATTTGACCTCAGCCATTAAACAATATTCTTTTTCCCTGACTCTCAATAAACTGCACTCTTGCTCATAGCTCTCTCTTGCTGTTTCAGAGTATGCATAATTTTTCAGGGTCCTGTTGTAATTATGGTTTTATTGAGGAATGTTAGGATTACAAGGATGTTCCTAAATAAGATAAGGACAGAAATCACTTACCATGAAAAATAAGTTTACTTCAGCTGCCTGTCTGCCCCCTTGAAAAATGTCCTTCTCATTGCTAAAAAGCTCCTTCAGTGCACACACAGATTTCTATGAGCAGATGACAGGGATGAGTGTTTTCTTGTAGGTTTGGGGTTTTTTTTTCCCTGCTGTCAGTGGCTGGCATGTTTGCAGCTGTTTCTTAGTGATTTAACAGTACTGGATCAATATACCTTCAAACAGTATTACAGTACCAGATCTGGCTTGGGAAAGCAAAGAGAGAGTTATCAAAATTTCACTGCCATGATATTGGAGAAGGTCATAAAGTTCACTTATAGTTTACAGTTCATTGCAAAATTCATCTAATTTAAGGGAAGGCTAAAGCAGGCCCAAAGGAGGGTGGTTTTAGCATTGCTTTTGCCAACGACATCATAATTTTCTTAACACTTGGAAGAGCGAAAATCTGCATTTAGAGAATGGCCTCCAGCTTTAAAATTGGCAATCTCTTAAACTGTTGTTCAGTAGATACTACCCAGTTCCTTGGACAATTCCAAATTACAGAAAATATCACTGGCTTGTTGATAAATTTTCAAATCCAAGTAAATTTTTGGATTTTTGTCCCAAGCATTCTATACCCATAGCCCCTCCTATTCCACTGATTACATTTTGAGCTTACAATAATAGCACTACTAGAAATTATGTCCTGAAAGCCTAGTGATTGCAGAATCACCACAGTTGCTGATTGTTATGTCATCAGGAGTACAGGAGAGAGTCTCCATTGGACTACAATACTGAATATGTATATATATAAATTCTGGCCTTCAGTGCTCATATTCTGCTTTTGATTCTTGCACACTAACCATTCCTTTGCTATGATTCTTGCATCCTTACTGTTTTGAAAGCTACTTGCGAGGAAAATGAACCCTCATAAAAGGACCACCAACGATTAAAGTCAAAATCAAAAGCAGTAGAGGGGATGGGATGGAATTTTCTGGTCCCCTCTCCACTGTTTATGAAAGTTACACAGCTGCTCTACTGTGTTTTAGCCTGATAGCTGTAGATTTGTTAGCAAGCTTTAGAATTAGACTTGGTTAGTTGTTAGAAGAGAAGGACAGGAAATTAAAGTCCCAAAACTTTCCAGTCTTATTGGTTTTTTATACAGTGAGATTTTTGGCAGAAGTTTTGGTGTGTGAACTTAGCAATGGTGGTGGTATGTTCTCAGTTTCATTTCTACACGAAGGATGTGAATTCATGAGCTTTAGTGTACCCTGGCATCTTCCTGACTATGCCTGGAGCACAGGGCAATGTCTTTTTACAGCAAGAAAAAGGAAAAGCAACTGTTGTGTTTTTAGGCAGATTCTGGAGTTTTCTCCTGTCTAAGAAAAAGACAATGTGAGTGCAGCCCCTTACTCACATTACAACAGTGACATGGGGAATTTGGGCTGTTAGGACCCGATCTAACATGAATCTTTGGGTATGCTGGACTCTCTCAGGACTTTTGTGAGGTAATAATCACTAAAAGTTGGAGTCCAGAAGAGCCTTCCAGTCAAGTCAATAGCTGCTTCACCAGGATTCCACACTGAGAGGTCAATAACCCAGCAAATTAGGAGCTGTAATGTAGGGGTGGGATTTCAGGAGCCTGAGTTGGGCCCTGTTTTTTTTCAGTAGTAGTTTTCTCATGAGGATTTTTCATTTTCTGTTCTTAATACAAAGTTTTCGTTCTCTTCTGAGATACTTGACAGCATGTTGGGATACAGGGGTACAACAATGTTGCTCAAACCTCATACTTAACAGTAATCACTTAGTTTTGTTCAGTGGTTAGGTACCAGAACACCATGTTTGATTGTTCCTTCTCTTATTCACTGTCTTAATACCACAGCATTTGCTTTTTCCTAGAGTTCTTGAGGTTGTCTGTAAGTTTCTTGGCTGCATGTGCTTTTGCCAGTTGAAATTTTTTGTCACATGCTTTGTTATTTGTTTTTAAGAGGGTGCTAATTTGATAAGCACATTAATGCTTTAATTCAGCATTAATTCACCAGGCCTTTCCTGATGCCTATATGTATCCATACCACACACTTTTTAAAGCTGCTAATAATGCCACAAGTCAAATTTAATTTCCATCCCCAGATATTAGTGGCAGGTGACTATGTCCATATCTCAACTTGTTATAGGTAAAGTTTCTGCTCTTCCTTATTCCAAAGAAAAAATTTGAAGATCTGGCCTGAGAAAGATAGATAGTATAGAAAAAAAAAAAGAAAAAAATTTTAGACCAGTTTTATG